TTATCCTCTAATTATGAGTAATATTTGACTAATCAAACAGGGTCATTTCAGTAATACTGGCATGCAATTGTTCACTTTGTCATGTATTATAATGTGTTTCACGGGACAGGTGTCATTTTTGTATGGGATGGGATCGCCTATAAAACGAGAAAGTCTGGGGTATCACCGGGATACCACGTCAACGGTATCCCGGTCCAATTAAAAACCCCCCACATCACCCTTTTCTTTTACACATCATCAATCAGATAACGATGGGAAACAAATGGCAAAACTAAATTAACTCACGACAAATTTAACTCACGGGTAAATCTTTTCAAAATAAAGTTCAAAGCACTCTTTTTTCTTCGACATCTCCCCAACCCTTCCTTTAGCGTCTTTTTCCCTTTATCATTTTTTTTGCTTTCTAATTTTATTTTTGAACACAGTTACCATATTCTTCTCTTCACAGCATCTGTAGAGACTCAATGGTCATAGCTATTGCAATTTGAGATTGCAATTGCTAAGTTTCTTGGTGAAACTAATTATTTTTTTCTTGTTTGGGTATAGCTATTTTTAATTAATAATTTGCAATTGCTAAGTTTTGCTTGTGCAATTTGTGGATGTATGCTTTTTGGTTAATTTGGTTGGTTTGGTTGAAGGAAGAATAGTTAGAACTAATTATAAGAAATTAAACATTTTTCATGCCCACCAACTGTTTGATGCATTTCTGGAGTTAAGATTTCCTACAAGGGGACAATGTTTAAGCAAGCTTGAGGAAGATTTTGTTCTTTTTCACAAAATTCCTGTGTTTTTGATATATTTTCTGACTTATAGTATCAACGGGACATTCTTTGTTAGCTGGGATAACTTTATTTATTGATCATTTATTGAGTCTAAATATCATCTTGATTGGAGATAGGTTTAGTGTGCCTTTTCTATGCCATTGGTGATAATATGTAACTTGCATCCATAGCATTAGAAGATGAAATTCTTACCTTTTCTTGTCAATTTTTTTAGTTTGTTTGCTATGCAAGTCATTGATTTTTGTTTAGCTGAGCAACCTATAAACCCTCAAATCAATGACATATAGATTGAGAATGGGACTAAGATGTAAAGTTCAAAGAAGTTGGCTTTTCAGTATCTAGGAAATCCCATTCAGGGAGTTAGCCATGCCACATTGCCAATTGGAAGAAAAACAAAATGGGAACATCAAGATTCAAGAATTGCTTTGTTTTTTCTTTTTTTTTTTTTTTTTGTCAAAAAATTGTCTTGTATCATTTTCACAAGAAAATTTTCTTGTATTCTTTTAAGAGAATTGCAATGTATTTTGGCATATTATTTTATTATTAATAAAAGCTCATCTTTTTAATAAAAGCTCATTTTTTTAATCAAAAAGTGTTATTTTGATATAAATTTAACTCTTGAAATATATTATTATCTAAATATGAGTAAATAATGCATGCCATTGAAAAAGCCAAATGAAGAAC